TGAATAGCAGTCATGTTGCGGAGTTTAATTGCGACATTTTTTCCTATAGCATCATATTCATCATCTGGGTTTTGTAATCTTTTACCTATTAACGATATTGTGTCTTCAATGGCGGCATTGCCGTGTCGCTTACGACGTGCAGATGAAGCAACAGATGTTGCAGGTGTCACAGGTGATGACACGTTGCAAATGGTACTCTGTAAATAAAAATGATATCATTTATACTGAATTATGGGTTTTTTTTTGTTACAGTTCCCGAGTTCAGAAGAAGAATGGCTAGCAATTGCTGAAGAGTTTGAGCGTACATGGCAATTTCCAAATTGTTTAGGAGCCGTCGATGGGAAACATGTAGCTATAGTCCCTCCTGCCGGAGCCGGCTCACATTTTTTTAATTATAAAGGGTATCACAGTATTGTACTTATGGGAATTGCAAATGCAAATTATGAATTTATTTATGTAGATATTGGAACAAATAGACGTATATCTGATGGAGGTGTAATACAAAAAACTACATTCTTTCAAAGATTGAATTCCAAGCGCTTAAATCTTCCTAGCCCCATAAAACCAAGCGGTCATTTAGAAGAATTGCCTTATGTATTTATTGGCGACGAGGCTTTTGCTTTGAGGACAGATTTTATGAAACCGTACCCACAAAGGCAATCACAGGCTAACTCAAGTAAGAGGATATACAATTATAGAGTATGCAGGGCTAGAAGAATTATAGAAAATGTTTTTGGAGTTCTGGCGGCAAGATTCCACATTTTTCGATCGCCTATAAATACCAGTGTGCACAATATTAACAAAATAGTTTTGGCATGTTGTGTATTGCACAATTTTTTAAGGAAAAAATTAAGACAAGCTTACAGTCCACATCAGCACTTAGATAGTGAAAATCACGAAAATGGAACTATTGAATTGGGGCTGAGACCACAAAATGGAGAATTACAGTCACTACAACAAAGTCACATAGTCGTAACCCCACTCAAAATGCAAAAATTATCAGAGAAAAGTATGAAACCCACTTTAATACTAGTGGTGCAGTGTCATGGCAACAAAGAATGATATAATAATAGTATTTTTACCCGGGTATCATTTTCACTATGTTCAGCATCAAATGTATTTTCATTATCATTAGCTGTCTCCTGTTCGCTGATGTCTATATTGTCAGTTGATTGTTCACCTGTAATTAAATAAAAACCCTCTAAATTTACTTTTGGTTTTAATGTTCAACATCACAATGTCATTATTGTAATGAAACAAAGTGCTATAATAGGTACTCTATTTTAGGTACCTACCTAATTTAGGCACAAGCATAACAAAGAATACGCACGTATAATATAATAGTGTATAGAGAAATTCCTTAATAAATAATTAAACTTACCTTGGCCTTGATCTTTGAGAAATTCAAGCTGACTTTAATACCATAATTTTGGCACGTATACCTGGTCAGTTCCTGAACCTGTCTTCTTGCTATCTTGCACTTTTTTATGTTCTTTTGAGAACCCAGCCCTTAATGAATTAATTTTTTTCTTGACGTTCTCAATCGTAGCATCTCTTTCTACCTTCCGTATAATTTCTAATAAATTATTGTATGCTTGAAGCTTCAAATTTTTGTCTTTGTAGTCGTTGCTTCTAATTTTCCAAAGAAAAGGGTTATTTCGGAAAGCTTCTATAAATTCGGTTAGCAGTTCATGCGAATAAGTTCGAAAATCACACACTTTGAGAAATTTCTGAATCAAAATTAACAAAAATTGCAATTTAAACAAGCGTGCGCGTCCACAGACTGGCGAAACAAAATGGCGGCTCGCGGCTCACAGTGCTGCCACACGTACGAGCCAAGACGAGCTACTAGTAAGATTTCAAACCGGTTGGATCGCCGACGAACTTACTCGGCGGTTTTAAAGTACGCGTACTTACGGGGACACACGAGCGAAAAAGGTCGTCGAGCCATAAGTACGCGTACTTGCTCGCCCGTCTATCACTCACTTTAGCGGCGCTTCAAATTGGCACAGTCATTTGTATGGTATAGCCAGTCCAGCGTACTAGTATATATAGAGGTCAGTGTAAAGCATATTATATTTATTTTGACATTAAAATATTATTATTAAATTGCATTGTACTATCAATAGCCGTGCCATAAAACCAAGCGGTCATTTAGAAGAATTGCCTTATGTATTTATTGGCGACGATGCTTTTGCTTTGATGACAGATTTTATGAAACCGTACCCACAAAGGCAATCACAGGCTAGCTCAAGTAAGAGGATATACAATTATAGAGTATGCAGGGCTAGAAGAATTATAGAAAATGTTTTTGGAGTTCTGGCGGCAAGATTCCACATTTTTCGATCGCCTATAAATACCAGTGTGCACAATATTAACAAAATAGTTTTGGCATGTTGTGTATTGCACAATTTTTTAAGGAAAAATTAAGACAAGCTTACAGTCCACATCAGCACTTAGATAGTGAAAATCACGAAAATGGAACTATTGAATTGGGGCTGAGACCACAAAATGGAGAATTACAGTCACTACAACATAGTCACATAGTCGTAACCCCACTCAAAATGCAAAAATTATCAGAGAAAAGTATGAAACCTACTTTAATACTAGTGGTGCAGTGTCATGGCAACAAAGAATGATATAATAATAGTATTTTTACCTGGGTATCATTTTCACTATGTTCAGCATCAAATGTATTTTCACTATCATTAGCTGTCTCCTGTTCGCTGATGTCTATATTGTCAGTTGATTGTTCACCTGTAATTAAATAAAAACCCTCTAAATTTACTTTTGGTTTTAATGTTCAACATCACAATGTCATTATTGTAATGAAACAAAGTGCTATAATAGGTACTCTATTTTAGGTACCTACCTAATTTAGGCACAAGCATAACAAAGAATACGCACGTATAATATAATAGTGTATAGAGAAATTCTTTAATAAATAATTAAACTTACCTTGGCCTTGATCTTTGAGAAATTCAAGCTGACTTTAATACCATAATTTTGGCACGTATTCCTGGTCAGTTCCTGAACCTGTCTTCTTGCTATCTTGCACTTTTTTATGTTCTTTTGAGAACCCAGCCCTTAATGAATTAATTTTTTTCTTGACGTTCTCAATCGTAGCATCTCTTTCTACCTTCCGTATAATTTCTAATAAATTATTGTATGCTTGAAGCTTCAAATTTTTGTCTTTGTAGTCGTTGCTTCTAATTTTCCAAAGACAAGGGTTATTTCGGAAAGCTTCTATAAATTCGGTTAGCAGTTTATGCGAATAAGTTCGAAAATCACACACTTTGAGAAATTTCTGAATCAAAATTAACAAAAATTGCAATTTAAACAAGCGTGCGCGTCCACGGACTGGCGAAACAAAATGGCGGCTCGCGGCTCGCAGTGCTGCCACACGTACGAGCCAAGACGAGCTACTAGTAAGATTTCAAACCGGTTGGATCGCCGACGAACTTACTCGGCGGTTTTAAAGTACGCGTACTTACGGTGACACGAGCGAAAAAGGTCGTCGAGCCATAAGTACGCGTACTTGCTCGCCCGTCTATCACTCACTTTAGCGGCGCTTCAAATTGGCACAGTCATTTGTATGGTATAGCCAGTCCAGCGTACTAGTATATATAGAGGTCAGTGTAAAGCATATTATATTTATTTTGACATTAAAATATTATTATTAAATTGCATTGATTACGTACCAATCATGACATGTGCCAATTAATACAAGATGACAATTAGACAAAATGATGGCAACTATTATATTATGTACACCATACCTTTATTTTCATTAAGTTTTTCTTATTTTATTATGTACATATCGAGATCTGTAAATTAAACTATGTTCATGAAATAAACAGATTTGATTTGATTAGATTAAATTTGATATTTTTAACTGAAAAAAAATTTAAACATAAAAGTTCACGCATTAGAGCAGTACGTTGGTTTCTTATTTTCTCTAAAACTCTTTCAGTAATGAGAAAAAGTTTGTGCTTTATTTTACTTTTAATATTTTATATTATTCTCGTTAAAGATATACAGATGGCAGCAGTAATAACACAGTTAAGATCAAGGTTGATCTTTACTGTATTATTATTGTTGCTGCACAATTTTTAACTAATTGCTGCACATTTTTTTTAATTACAATATCTGATTGAAACTAACGAAATGCACTAAATTTAAATGAGCACGTTTGTGAGTTACTGAGTATATTAAGTTTTATATTTAAATTCAGCGAGTATTTTTCCAAATATGCTACGTTCGCTACGCTTTTGCTTTTATTTTATAACTTTCCTTTATCTGCGTTCGGCACACTGAAATATTTTTCGCAAAATGCACTTATATTTTATTTTTAATAAAACGAAAAGTTGTTACTATCCTGTTATAATTTACAATGTCATGTACATTGTGCAACTGTCTCATAACAAGTCTGAACTGAGCATAAGCCCTGTAGCGTTACGAAAAGCCTACGCCAATGCTGATAGTTAGTATCACTGTGGAGAGAGGGCGCTGCACGGCCTGTGTAAACATCTTATTCTGTGTTTATAAATTTCGTAAAAATGTTATATTAAAAAAGTAAGTTTTTTTTATGTTTGTGTTCTTTGTGTGTATGAGGACTATAACTACAAGTGTTATCTCAATAGTACGAGACTTAATTACCATAATAATATGCAATAAGTGTACAGACGGTGATTTTATGATAAATTTTTAAAATTATAGTATAAAAGCTCAATGAAAAATGTAAAAACATTGTGTGACTAGTGTTTCAAACGAGTAACATTAAAATCTTAAAGAAATTAATAAATAAAGTGAAAAGAAATAGAAAAAAACTTTTAAATGTGGCGGTTGAATAATTTAAATTGATTACGGTGCTGAAATAGCTATCATTTATTGTAATAGCGACATCTATTGGCAAAGTAAGGAACTGCTATTGACTCTCATAACATATTTATAGGTTATACAGTTTTAGTGACTGCAACATTAGAGGGCGTTGTAAAAAAATGGAAACCAACTATGCATCTAAAGAGAAAAATTGTTCCAAACGTAATAAAAAAATTAATGGTGTGAATTATTTAAAATGTAATATATGTAATAAATTGTATGAGCCAGACCGTACCAATGTCTCTTTTAAAAGATTTAATGTTATGTCTAAGGAGAGAAAACAGAAATGGAGATGTATTAATTGCGTTCATGAAAAACAAAATAGCAGTACGACTATTTCACCTATGGGTACTACAAATATAAACAGACAAGAGCAAGAAACTACCGAAAAAAGTACTGATGAGCACAAATATGAAAAAAATGTGACAATAAGATCTAAAAAAAATTTACATGAAACATGTACCAGTTCGCACATGAACACCTCATGGACTTCATCTGATTCGGAATATGACATAAAGAGTTTACCTGATATTTCAACCCTATTCAATTTCGAACCGGAAATCATAAAGGAAGAATTGGAAAGAACTAAAAGCATACTCGCTAGCGTTAATTTGGAAATAGAGAATCTATTGCTTGAGAATAGCTCACTTAATAAAAAGAATATGGAATATGAAAAGACGATTTCTCAACTAATAAATACATGTAATAATCTTTTTTACGGGTCTCAAAAATCAGTCAGTTCGGTACAGAAAAAGAAAAATAAGAGAAGTTCTATATTAAGTATTGAATCAAGCAAAGACATTGAGCAGGACATGTTGATTACGACTAAACCAAAATTGTTAGAAGGGCAAACTGATTCTCAATTGAGTTTCCATAAATGTCCGCTAGATGGGACTACAGAAACAACGGAAAGTAAACATCCGGTAAAACAACTCAAAGAACAGAAAATTGAAACTCAATCAACACATACTATATTAGAGAAAAAAATTTACTGGGTGATGAACAAGGGACAGGAGTTGCGACTAAACTACTCATGGATCGAGAAATTAGGGGTGATAATAACTCCAAAATTATGTCATTTATAAAACCACAATCTCTTTGTGCAGATTTGTTGGACTACTCTAATCATATAATTAAGAACTTAAATCATGACGACAAGATTGTGATTGTGACGGGTGCAAATGATTCTAACCCAATAAAACTATTAAACGATTTAAGCTTGGTGCTTTATAAGTTAAGTAAATGTAGTAGAGTATATATTTTAGAAGTCGTAAATAATCCTTATTTGAATATTAAAACTTTAAATGATAATATATCTTCTTTAGTTAGGTTGTATAATAATTGTACTTTTTGACATCGAGTGGTAATTTTTATAACGTAAAAGAATATTTCGTCGCTTTGGTAGTGAAGAGAGTCAACCCACACATATCAAGTTCCGAAATAATGAGCAATTAAGTGGCGAGGTTAAACAAAAAATATTTATTAGTCTATACCTTCTAAACCGTAAGTTAGATTTTAATAAAAATGGCATTGGTTTAGCTAAACATGCTTCTTGTGTTTTTGGTATATTTATAGTTTTTGTAATTTAACTAGTTTTTCTGTTAATCGCTATTTTGTACTTGGCTCTTTTCACCATTTAGATATTTTGAAAATGATCTACTAATAAATAGGGAGGTGAAAAGATGTAAGTGTTATAGATCTACTAATTTATTCAAATACTTGTTAGCAGCAGGGTTGGTTGGTAGTTGGTAGACAAAAAAAAAGAATAATAGGGTTATTTTAAATATTGTTATAGTAGAAATAATAAAATTAGTAATTATTTGTTAAAAATCTTCATTAAAAAAATCAATAATCTTCTATAATATCAACATCCTGACTTGAAGCAATAAGATTCATGTAAAATTCATGATAAGAGGTAGGAATTGTACCTTTTTTACAAAGATCTTGTAAGTACTTAAGTTTTTTGGTATCTATTTTTAAGCTACACTTATAAAGATTAGCTACTTCAGTGGCAAGTATTTCTTCATCATTTCGAGTTGATCTGAGGCGAATACATAGTTGTTCAAATTCAATTTGGCTTAACTTCACGTCTATATTGCAGCCATTTAACAAGAAGCCATTTCATGATGCCACTCTCTCCTTTATTTTATTTGTAATTTTTTTTAAAAGAATATTAACAATGCATTTAATACATTACTAATATTCCCCTTAACCACTTGTATTAAGCTTAAATTGCTTGTGTTACAAGTGGATCACGCCAGTAGTCGAATGGCGGATTCGAACCCACGACCTTTTTGAGTTCGCGGTCCGCGCCCTGCCATTAGGCTGCTGTCAACTACTACTGGCTTTACGACTTAAAATCAAGAAATTGGCTAAAATTCATCTCCTTTACGATATATGATGGTCGAGTGGTCTTCGCTGTTCTTGCTAAAGTCTACCATCCATCTAAGACAAAAATATCAAACTTTGTACCCCATTATTCAATGGCAGAGTGAACACTCACATTTCATTTCGGAATATCCAGACTCCATGTACTTTTGGTTGATAATCTTCAGATTTGGAAATGAAGAGAGTGCTCTAATGTACGTAGCAGAAATGATATGGTTTTTGTTTTGTCCTAAAGCAGTATCAGAGTAAAATATTACTTCTGTCACCTCTGGTGGTAGTTCAGAAAGGAGTTTCCAAATAAATGTGGCTCAGATGCTCCTTTTGTACCACCGGTTTCATGCTACATGTAGTTAATTGCGGTGCCTTAAGCAAGGTCATAACTGGTAAAATTATGTTTTTAATTTCTTTTATAATACAATTGACTAATCTCTAACTGTAAGGTAAGGAAGATTTTTTTTAAATCCATAGTGTAAGCACAAAACGTTAGAGCAGTCTTACCTCTCGCCTTGTCTTCTCTTTTCTGTTCTCTAGTTTCTGTTTTTCTTATTAAATGTAAGTCGTAATTACTTCGTTCTTGGAGTTTCTCTTCTGGTGATTTGTTTTTAAATTGAGCGCAATAATCACAATGGTCTTTTTTGGCCTATGGAATCCATAATTGAACTCAGTAGTAAAAATATGTTTATAATAATAAGATGATACAGGTAATGGTCCGTTCTCTTCACAATATTTGATATAGTTTTGATACAAGCGATTTTCAGTCAGGCCAGATGGCAGATATTTCCACTTAGATGAACTTCGGCAGTAGTGAGAGTCTACTACAGGTTAGGACTTGATGTGATCACGAATAATATTCTTTTGTTCTTCAGAAATTTTATTTGATGCAGGGTTCAATCAAAAATGTCAAAGTATAAACATGAGTATAATTTCTCTTATCAGGAACATCAGCTGCCACTGAACTAGAGAACTAGAGCCTTTCGACTTGTAACTTCTTTTTGGTAGCTCTTTACTGACTGAGCGGTTTATAAAAGCCTATTTGACTCTATCGAGAGCCAAATGGGCTTTAAAGTCAAAAACCCTAAAAAAATGTTCTGTCTATCATTCAAAGTAAATGTATTATTGCATTTGTAATGACACCTACAGGGAAATTCCTTAACAGCTTTTTCTCTCACCTTTTTACCTGACTGAGAAACATGTTCTTTACTTTCAAGTCTCAGTTTTTTTTTTTATTTCGTGGCACTGCTACGGGGTTATCATATGGGGAAATAGCACAGACGTTTCTGATCTTTTAACCCTACAAAAAAAAAACTAATACGAATAATATTTAATACACAAAATACTGATAGCTGCAAACCATACTTCGTCAAACATAAAATACTTACCGTACTGTGCATTTATATCTTGGAAATCTGCAAATTCATTAAAAAGTACTCAGAATTTTAAATCAAACAAGGGGAAAAGTAATACCAGATACCAATTACGCCATAACGAAAAACTGACTATACTCATATCTTGTCTTAAACTACATTCATCAGGTCCCTTTGTCATGTTCATCACAATTGTTAACAAACTCCCAAACTCGATAAAAAAATGGAAAAACTCACTAATTTTATAAATAAACTAGTAAAGGAATTTTTAATTTGTAAACACACAAACACACAACAGCAAATTTTAAATGCCTACCTAGAATACCTACAGTTGCTATATTATATAGTGTATTCATCATTATTGTTTCATTAAAACGGCCCTCCTTTGCCGTGCCCTGCAGGGCCCATAATGATCTCGTAGTTTTAAGTAAAAACTTAAAATGTTTTCAACACATTAACTGTAAAATTATGGATGCAATAAATAATATGAATATGAATGTTTTTAAATTTCCATCATTTTGTACATCAGAAATGGTTAACGTGTTGTACTACATATTTTTTATAACAACAGTAAAACACACACATTATGCAAAATAACCGAATAAATGAATATGAATCTCAATAAGATCACGACAGATGTCAAGCCATACAAAATAGCTCTTTTAAATGCAGGGATACGTTGACTTCGTTTAAAAACTAGTGATATAAGCGGCTTGACTTTCTTCACTACTGATTACAACCACTGTCCTATTTCCAGAAGTTAACTAAGCTATGCGGATTGTATTCCTCTTTATACTATAAAGAAATGTATGGTATTTCTGTTAACATCTTTTCACCTTTTTGATTATTTTTTTTACCTTAACTACAGTCAGTTCGCTCTATTCACCACTGTAAAAATCACATTGTTTTGATTCGAATAGTATACTTATTTCATTTCGTACAAAGTTGTGGCTTGGCTTTCTTCACCACCAAAGCGACGATTTGTGGCATATGAGTCGAAAAATAAATTTTAATATAGATTGCTTCGACTATGATACATCATTTCTATCATTAAGTAAATTAAGAAATAGATTGACACACAACAAAACTATTAACTCGCAAAAAAACTAAACCTAATTCACCTAAAGGTCAATTCATAAAAGGGCACTATACCTTACTATTTTAATTTAATGAATAAAAATAATGTTAGACATAATAATGAAAATTGCAAGATCATCAATGATAGCTCTAAATATTCTAAACCAAATAGAGGGTTAATAACTTATTATTTTCATTCTGTAAACTCATGTAAATAAGTATCACACGATTCCTTTCGTCCATAAAGAAAATTTTTTAAATACGAAATTCAAAATCTTACAGCAAAATATAGCTGGCATTTGCTCCAAAAAGGATATTTTAGAATTAACATTAAAAAATTTACACGAAGAGGAGCATACACGAATAGATGTATTATGCTTAACGGAAATATTTGTTAAAGCAAGCGACTATAATAATTATAATGTTTATGGTTATGAATTAGCTGGTTTCTATGGTCGTAAAAAATAGAGGTGGTGTATGTATTTTGATAAAGGAAGATAAAGAAAAAGTGGAATGAAAAAAAATTTATTTCAGATTTAACAGAATCTGAGCATTTTGAATGTTGTGGAATAGAAATTCCTTTACATAATATTTACGTAATATGCATCTATAGGACACTTGGTACAAATGTGAATATATTCTTTTTTAAACTACAAAACTTATTGTCAAAATTAATAAATAATCACAATAAAAGAATTATTATTGCTGGAGACGTTAACATTAATACCTTGGAAAATAGCAAAAATACAATTGAATTAAATGATATCATTTCAAATTATAATTTATATAGACATATTAATGAACCAACGCGTGGAAACAACTGTATAGATCATGTATTTAGTAATATAATGAATGCAACAACATGTGTTAAAAAGTTATATTTATCAGATCATGAATCGGCGCAAATATTATCTATTGATGTACATAAACAGAGAAAAAAGTTAAATGATATTTGGGATTATAAAAGGAATTATAATTTATATTACATTAATATGTTTCGTGAATGTATAAAAAAGCTTACTTTTAAGTAAGGTTTTTGAGGACAAGAATATCAATTCTGCATATAATAAATTTATGGAACTTTTTATCTTATTTTATAATCTATGATTTCCGATGACTAAGACAAAAAAACTAGACATGAAATATAAAAATAACTAGATTGCAAAAGGCAAACCTTAAGTCTCAAAAAACTTAGTTGCTTAATGAAAAGGAAACTCATAATTGGTTATTATAAGAAAAAGACTGAAGACAATAAACAAAAATACAAAAGATACAGCAAATTACTAAAAATGTGTATTGACGTGTCTAAAAGAATAAATTATTTTAAACGAATTAATACCAGTAAGAATAAAGGGCAATGTTCATGGAATATGATAAAATCAGAGGCAGTATTAAAATTGAACGACCACTATTTAAACATAATAAACAAGAACAATGAATGTCTAACATCTCCACAGAAGATTGCTAATGATTTTAGTGAGTAATATGAAAGCCAGACAAGGATAGTTAACCTTAAGCAAGCGAAAGAAACACACCTGTATAACATTAAAAGCCCGTGCAAAAGCATGTTTTTACGTCCAATTACTCTGGAGGAGACAAAGTCATTAATAGTTAATTTAAAAAATTCTAGAAGTGAAGGTTATGATGGCGTAAATACGGTTTCCCCGAAGAGGTCACCGAAACGTAGCCAGTTGAGGGAGGCGACTGTATCTACGAAGGGCTCATTAAGAGCCCTGTAGTACCTCCCGTGGAGCTTCTTCTACTTCCATACGGTCTCCCGGTCGGAAACGCTAAGCACTGCTGGGTCCTGCCATTGCTCGTGGGCTAAGGATAGAGGGGTAAGCCCTTTATCACTAGAAATGACGTCATTATAGAATGGATCATCCGTTCTCGCCAGAAAGTAATGACGGAGGCTGCACACTTCGCGATTATGCATGGTGAGCGCGCACAGAAAACCACGCCCACCACGCTTTCGCGGCAAGTACAGCCTCATTACCGACGATCTCGGATGATGCATCCTATGGGACGTCATGGTATTGCGGACTTTTCTATCCAGGGCGTTAAGTTCGGTCTGAGTCCACCTGAGTACAGAGCCAAAGGTATATATGAGGACAGGCATGACCCAACCGTTATATGCGTGTGTCTTATTCACACCGGACAAAAGGCTGTTAAGCACTTTGGTCAAGCGTGCATAAAACACGTCGCAAACTGTCTGTTTCATACCAGCCTCATCGATACCGATGTTCTGTGACATACCCAGGTATCGGTATGTTTCAGCCTCGGAAAGGGTCCTTAAGTTGACGGGCATAGATAAGTCTATGCCCTCCGAGTTAGCAACCCTTCCCCTTTCAACATGAAGGACCGCACACTTATCCGTCCCCAGCTCCATTCCAATAGAATTGCTAAATTCACAAGTGATGTTTAGCAATTCCATAAGATGGGAGCGACTGGAGGCGAATAACTTGAGGTCATCCATATAGAAAAGGTGGGTCACTTTTGTTCCTCCCTTCCGTAGCTGAAATCCTCTCCCGAACCCTCCAGTAAGGTACTGAGAGGGTTCAGAGAGAGGGAGAACCAGATTGGACTCAGACAATCGCCCTGGAAGATACCCCTTCTTATCCTTATGTGGTTCTCCGCAGCCATCATCCGCTCGCCCAGATAACAGAGGATCGTACTCCACTGCCCCATACACTGCTCGAGGAAGTCTCTAACTGTACAGTCAATCTTGTACAGCCCGAGGACCCTCTTTAGCCACGTATGGGGCACCGAGTCGAATGCCTTTCTGTAGTCTATCCAGGCGGCGGAGAAATTCCGGCGGTTGCGTTTTACCACTTTGCCAATGACCGCGTCAATGAGGAGTGGTTCCTTGGTTCCACGACCACCGTCCCGACATCCATTTTGAGCGCGTGACATCACCTGATTTAACTCCAGGTGACGAGTGATTCTCGCGCTCAAAATGGATGTCAGTGTCTTATATATGGTGGGTAGACACGTGATGGGGCGGTATTTGCTCGGGTCTGTGGTATCCTGATCTTTAGGAACCAAGTGAGTGATCCCAGTAGTGAAGAGGCTCGGGAGCGACTTCTGATCGAGAACCTCTTGAAACTGTCGGGCGAGCACAGCGTGACACACTACGAACCCCTTCAGCCAGTAATGATGCAGCCCGTCGAGCCCCGGACTTTTCCAGTTCGGGGCCCTACGGACCGCCTCAGCCACGTCTTAAGGCGTTATGGTGATGGGGTCAATAGGCGTAACACTTGCACTCTGGCTCGCCACAACTTCCAACCAAGGGTGGTTTACGGGCTCTGACCACAGGCGACGCCAAAATGCGACGGTGTCAGCCTGATCCGGTCCTGGGCCAGCTCCACATACCTCTGGTCGCTCCAATGATTTATAGAGCCTCTCGGCTCAATCACTCTGGAAGAGACGATTCTGGTTGAACCGTCTTGACCTCTCGCTAAATCGTCGAATCCGCTTCCCCCAAGCAGCGATTTTTTGCTTCAGGTCATCTATGCGCTCCGTTAGTTTCTGCGTGATATCCGGCTGGGACAAACTAATATTTGTCCCAGCAAACGCCATTCTAACGGTGAGCACAACTCTCAGTCTATTATTACCCGACCTGAAGCTTGTCAGTCTGCCCATAAGGGCCCTTGCCTTTGCGATACGGTCCTCAATTCTTTTTCTCCAGGCTGGGATGGCGCTACTTCTTTGAGTAGCACGTCCAGCCACGGGAAGTTTGGCGCCAATAATACGGCATACTGCCAGTGCGGCGCCAAAAGGAATTGAGTCCGTCTCGCAAAGGTCCCGGCTGGCTTCCAAATAGGTCACCAGCATTGGGTTAAGAGCCCGCACGACAGCCCGATTTCGCTTGCTAAGGGGTATGCGGGAAAGTCGCGGTCGATTTTCGAGAGGCATGCTGCGCGTTTCCATCATCGACTCTTCCAATATGCTCCTCATTTTCTCTAGTTCGTGGGAGACTATTCCATCATCGTCTGAATTAGCCACGGAATATTGACGGCAGCATCCACATATGCAGTTTGTTGCGCATCTAGTGGCGCCGCATTCCCAGCCGTAGCACTTCCATTCGATGAAGGAATAGCCTCACGTCGTAGTCGTTCGAGTTCGGCGTCACCAAATATGTTGGAGCGCAGGATGTACCGAACTCGGTCTGCCAGGTTTTTCTCAGTGACGGATAGAGATGGCTACAGCTCTGCAAAAAGCGATGCATCCGAGCCCGATACGCCAAACATCCAGTTTCGTCCCCTTTTGCCCTAAAATACGCCCGCAGTGCGTTTGTGTTCATTAATTTTGACCAACGCATGCGACTTGCTTCACTAGCGGCGAGTGCCGCTTGCTGAGTCCGAGAAGACCCAGCCGACACCAAGCCTTCTGGTGGGGATGATGGATGCGGGGGGCTGCTAGGTGGTCTTGCAACACCCCGCGTTCGGCTGGCGGCCTGCATGCTGTCGCGTCCAGCGCCAGCTCCAGACGCGCCCTGGCGACCTCCAGGCAGCGGCCCTTTGCGCACTATCTTTTTTTCCATCATCCATAATTTGGGCGTCCATTAACGGGAGACGCCCAGGCCTGGCACCGTATCGTGGACGGCCATAAGCACAAACTGGCCTTTGCACCCTGAATTCTGCCGAGGCACGGCGCTCACACCTCTCACAAGACGCTGACTGACTGCGTTGACGTAGCAGTTTGTCACTTAACTGTTACGTCAGCGGGCGATAGGGTCGTCAATTCCCTACGCCATTCTATTATTATTATGTGTGGGGTATCTATATAGTTTTCTCATCTAGTTGGGATGTATAAATATATAATTATAAATGAAAATGAAAAGACAAATATACATAAATATCAATAAAATAAAATGAATACAAAAAATACATAAATAAATAAAAGCCCCACCAGATGGAGGCCCTCGGCAGGGGAGACCAAACGGCCGAGGATTAGGGGGAAAGAGAAAGAAACCGGCGGACGATGCGGGCGGTATCGAGGAGCACCGTTCTGCATTTGAACCTGGAGCGGTCCGCCACGTAGTCCCAGCCGCCTCAGATGACCCGAGAGGCTGACTGGGATTAGCCCGTTTGCAGAGACGACTACAGGAATAATTTCGGTCGGCAGACCACCCCACATGTCGGTCACCTCGTGAGCCAGGTCCAGATATTTTGTTTGCTTGTCTGTTTCGGCTTTAACGAGGTTCTCGTCATACGGAATGGTAATGTCAACCAAAAATATCCTTGACTGTGCCCGGTCCATCAGCACAATATCAGGCTTATTCGCAAGAATAGTCCTGTCTGGGATGATGGCCCGGTCCCAATAGAGCCTGGCGCGATCATTTTCGAGCACGGCTTCCGGCAAGTACTTGTAATACGGCAATTTCCGATCCACGAGACCGTATTTCAGAGCGAGCTCCTGGTGTAGAATTCTGGCTACTAGGTTGTGCCTGTGCAAGTACTCAGAGTTAGAAAGCGCCGAACAACCGGAGATAACATGCCTAAGTGACTCACTCCTCCTTTAGGATGTATCTCCGATAGTTGTTGGTCTTAATAACCTGATCCTGTATTGCACAGACAAAACCCTCGGTTTCCCCGAAGAGATCACCAAAGCGTAGCCAGTGGAGGGAGGCTACTGTGTCTACGAAAGGCTCATGTAGAGCCTTGTAGAACCTCCCGTGGAGCTCCTTCTCCTTCCATACCGTCTCCCGGTCGGAAATGCTCTGCACTGCCGGGTCTTGCCATTGCTCGTTGGCTAAGGATAGAGGGGTAAGTCCTTTATCACAAGAAATGACGTCCTTATAGAATGGATCATCCGATCTCGCCAGAAAGTAATCACGGAGGCTGCACACTTCGCGATTATGCATGGTGAGCGCGCTCAAGAAGCCACGACCACCATGCTTCCGCGGCAAGTACAGCCTCATTACCGACGATCTCGGATGATGCATCCTATGGGACGTCATGGTAGTGCGGACTTTTCTATCCAGGGCGTTAAGTTCAGTCTGAGTCCACCTAAGTATGCCAAAGGTATACATGAGGACAGGCATGACCCAGCCGTTATATGCGTGTGCCTTATTCACACCGGACAAAAGGCTGTTAAGCACTTTGGTCAAGCGTGCATAAAACACGTCGCAAACTGACTGTTTCATACCAGCCTCATCGATACCGATGTTCTGTGACATACCCAGGTATCGGTATGTTTCAGCCTGGGAAAGGGTTCTTAAGTTGACGGGCATAGATAAGTCTATGCCCTCAGAGTTAGCAACCCTTCCCCTTTCAACGTGGAGGACCGCACACTTATCCGTCCCCAGCTCCATTCTAATAGAATTGCTAAATTCACACGTGATGTTTAGCAATTCCATAAGATGGGAGCGACTGGAGGCGAATAATTTGAGGTCATCCATATAGAAAAGGTGGGTCACTTTTGTACCTCCTTTCCGAAGCTGAAATCCCCCTCCTGGAGCCCTCCAGTAAAGTACTGAGAGGGTTCAAAGAGAGGCAGAACCAGATTGGACTCAGACAGTCGCCCTGGAATATACCCCTTCTTATCCTTATGCGGCTTTCCGCAGCCGTCATCCGCTCGCCTGGATGACAGAGGATCGTACTCCACTGCCCCATACACTGCTCGTGGAAGTCTCGAACTGTACAGTCAATCTTGTACAGCTCGAGGACCCTCTTTAGCCATGTATGGGGCACCGAGTCAAATGCCTTTCTGTAATCTATCCAGGCGGCGGAGAAGTTCCGACGGTTGCGTTTCACCACTTTGCCAATGACCGCGTCAATGAGGAGTGGTTCCTTGGTTCCACGACCGCGCCGCCCCGACATCCATTTTGAGCGCGCGACATCACCTGATTTAAGTCCAGGTGACGAGCGATTCTTGCGCTCAAAATGGATGTTAGTGTCTTGTATATGGTCGGTAGACACGTGATGGGGCGGTATTTGCTCGGGTCTGTGGCACCCTGATCTTTAGGAACCAAATGAGTGATCCCAGTAGTGAAGAGGCTTGGAAGCGACTTCTGGTTGAGAGCCTCTTGAAACTGTCGGGCGAGCACAGCGTGACACACCATGAACCCCTTCAGCCCGTAGTGATGAAGCCCGTCAAGCCCCGTACTTTTCCAGTTCGGGGCCCTAAGGACCGCCTCAGCTACGTCATCCGGTTATTATTGTTATTATTATTATTACTGTAACTATTTAACTGAACAAGTTTGTGACTTACTGAGTAAATTAAATTTTATGTTTAAATTCAGCGAGTATTCGAATTTTCTCTGAATAACTGCCTAAAGTAACAAATTAATACTATTGTGTTCCGTATGGTGAGTGAAGAGAACTGAACCCTTTTAAGTGCAAACGAGACATTCAATTTTTGTCCTCAGGGGTGACAACGCATTTAAATTTTAATTCTTAATTGAGGATAAATACAAATGTTTATGTGCCACAGCATCCACTAATCATTAGGTTGATTGTGTGCTTATTTGTCAACCTTATTCTTTAAAAAATTAACTATTCTGATTATTCTCCGTAAATTTGTCCATACATTGCAAAATAACCCTAAATAATTAATATAAATTTAATTTTCCGGCAATTTATCGGTGAGAATCTATTTTCAGGGGTGGACTTTGATATTTTGCTTGCTGCGTTTTGGGCATCTACTCCATCGCAGATTACAGGCTTTTAAATTTATAAATAGTTACAGTGTTACTAACTTTTAGGATTGGCGTAGGCTTTTTATAACGGTACATTGCTTATGCTCAGTTCAGACTTGTTAAGAACATTATTAATCATATTGATGTT